GGCTGTCCAAATAGCTTTTTCGAAAGCAACACAAATCAGAGTGACTGAAGGTTATGTTTTTCTTTTCACTGGCTGACTATGCACCATAAAACATGCAGCAATCAATGCAGCAAATGTAAGAATGACTTACTGGAACAGATTCCCCGTCCTCGCCTTTATCTTTTAAGTAAAGATCGACGTAGTCTTTGAAATTTTTGATTGGAACCCGGACACCGTTTAGGATAACTTTCACACCCCGGGTCGATGCAGCAATATCATATGCTCGACGCTCAAACAGAGCAACTGTGTCTGCTTCGAGCTCCGACATGCCAAATCTGGCTAGATCGGGGTAGAATGAGATGCAAGTAAAGTCCTCTCCTGCGCTGGCCGCAATCCTGGGTTCAGACGTCTTTGTCATATTATCGATCCATGTCTAGAAAATATTTTTTTTAAAACGTTGCAAATAGTACTTGTTTAAAGCTTTTCTTATGCTCCTTGCTGGAAGTTTCCACGACAAATTTTTTGCTGAAGATATTACAGAGTTTGGCACCGAAACCATTGCGACCTCCAGTAACCTTTTTTTCTGTATCATCATAGTTGCTCGACGTCAACAAGTGACCGAATATCAGAGAAGGTACAAACATTTTTTCAACTCTGTGATTTACAACTGGTATACCAGCACCGTTGTTCCAAATACGGATTAGATTCTCCTCCCTAAAGAGTTGATTATAAGGCCAATAGACATACGGTTTAATGTCAATCTTGATGCAATTCATCGTGGGATCGCGCACTTTGTTATCCGCAGCATTGACTTTTTCAGAAAATAATAAGAAACAGCAAACAAACCTAATATTTCGTCGTAAATCTTGTACAAGCCTGGAGTATAAGTAATTTCTTTCTGTATCATCGATTGCTTCTCTTTGTCATAAAGCCACATAAGAGTGGTCGTGCGTTCAACCGATCCAATATATGTATCGGGTCTAATTAGTATATGTTCAAGCTGCGTCTTCTTCTGGTAGATGCGTTCCACAGACAGCCTTTTTTTGGAGGGGTCGGCAATCCCGTCCTCCGGGACATCACCATTCGCCAGTTGAACGTCAGCCATGTGGTGTGCTTTTACAAACGAAGCCCTTAGCAAGCTGGGCCGAAAGGCGTGTCTAAAAAATGATATGAAGCATCGAAAGTAGACTTACTGCAGGTTTCTGACCCAGCTACAGCAGACGACCCAAGACCTAAGACTAATTTCTCAAGTTTTTCTTTCAAATTTCATAAGTACCGCCGAACAATTCAGAGTATTTCAATGCTTAACAATGGACCAACGCGGACTCCGTGACTTTGTTATAGTAAGCAAGCAGGTAAAAACAACACATAAAAAATGCACAGGAAAATCACAAAAGTGCTCGCCACTACATCTGTGATCATGGCAGTGGATAGTGTGTTTCACAACAACATAGCAAATATGCTGGAAAAATTCAAGCTATGGGGTGATTAAGCCACTTTCCGAGTTAGATATGAATTATTAGTGTAATTTGAACTTAACTCTTTCATAGTGGAACAGTCACTTTTAGGGATGTCTTAAAAATTAGTGGGTTGCAGTAGCCTTTCAGGCCCTAAAGAGGCGTAAAGACACGCAAAAATAGAGCGGAAAAGGGGAGTGATTGCACAAAAAGGACCTCTTCAGGAGGTATGAACTCGGCGAGGACAATTCCTGAATATTAAACGGGGAACTCATTTATGTTTGGAGGTAAATTTTTATGGAGAGAGCCTATAAACCCTCAGCTTACCTGTGATGGACACAAATCCATCTAAATCAGCATCGATAGATCGATAGGGATACCGAGATTTGTAACAAGGATACCAGCTTTTCCGTATAGATCGTCAAAATAGACAAGGGG